GCGGGCCAGTTCCGCAGCTACGTGTGGGACCCGTTGCTGATCCTGTCGCAGATCGTCCTCATGCAGACCGTGTATTACGGCTCGCTGGGCCTGTGGTTGGCGCTGGTGGACGGGCTGGTGCGCAGCAGCCCCTCGCTGGACCAGATGTTCGACGCCGAGGTATGGTCCCCGGGCCGGCGCGGGCGGCGTCTCGGCCTCACCGGGTGGTCTGACACTACTGGGCTCTAGACCTGGCTGGGTCACCTTCTCGCTTTGTGGCCCTGGGAAAAGGATATCACTTTTCTGAGCCTTGGCTGCCCTATCCATAAAATGGAATGACAGGGAGGCAGATTAGTACAAAGGAAGGGGCCTGCGTTCCAGGCAACCTGATACATCTCCTTTCTGACCCTGAAAAAGTGACTTCACTTCTCTGAGCCCCAGATTCTCGGGTGCCAAATTGGGGACGGGAGATGGATAAAAGAGCATTCACGGAGTATAATGGGAACTTCCTGGACTTCGGAGTCAGGTCTCTAAGTTCCATGCACTAGCTGTGTGACCTGGGGCGAGTGTTGTCATCTCTCTGAACCTCAGTTTTCCTGTCTGCAAAATCATGAGACCGCTGGCATAGAGGTCGTAGACTGCAGTACAAAGAGCCTGGCTTTGGATTCAGAAATGCTTAGTGTCCAATGTAGGCTGAAACATACCAGCTGTGGGATTTGGGGCAAGTTGCTTTATCTTTCTGAGCCTGTTTCCTCTTCTGGAATAGAATAATCCTCAGCAAAATGTTATGAGGGCCAGAGGGGCCTAGGAGTAAGAAAGTGCCTTATAAAGTGTAATGGGAGGGTGGAGCGGTGTTTTGCTTCAGAGAGGCAGCTGTGGTGTATGGTAATAAGCACAGTTCTTGTAGCCAGGGGATCTGGGATGGAATCTTTCCTCCTGCTGCTTATTCTCTATGTAGCCCTTGGGCAAGTTATTATCCAAAAAAAGTTAATAATAAGCAAGTTATTATCCAAAAAGAGGTAACAGTAACAACAACAACAACTTTATGAGGTTGTTGTGAGGATGATATGAGATAATGAATGTTAAGGCCTTTGAAAACTGAAAGTGTGCAGATGTTTGGTATTGGATAGTACCGTATATGGACAGTGGTGGAGGTCACTCACCCACCAGGTGCCTAGTAGTACCTTCTTAGGAGCCTTGCTGAACCCCGTTCTAACTCTTTTGCTGTTTATTTACCCTGTCACTTTGGGCAAGTGACTTAACTTCTTTGAATTTTTATTCCTCCTTTGTAAAAATAGGATAATGATCCCTTCCCGGCTGCTGTGAGGGGTCAGGTGAGATACAGTGGTGGATGTCTGTAAAAGCAGCTTGGTGGAAGTAGGTTGCCATACAGATGAAGAGGCCTGTTGGCTTCTGTGGTCCTGGAATGATGTTTGTTCCTGAGCGGGGCTGCTGGGGTCGTGGAGCCTGGGGCTCTGCCAGGTCACTTCTCCAGCATATTTCCATTTGTGATTCCCCCTCAGATCCTGGGTTTTTCCACCTCTCCAGGCCGGCTCTCCACGATGTCCTTCGTCCTCAACGCCCTCACCTGGTGAGTATCACCAGTTTTGCTATCCAGCTTTTGGGGTCTTAGCACTGGAACTAACTTCCTAAATTCGGACATGAAACAGGCTGGCACTTGTTCCTGGGCAGTGGTGGACTAAAATGGGTGGCAGAGGCCAGTTCTGGGACTGGCTCCACTATAGGGTTTCTTTGATCGCTGTTTTGACTTAGCTGGAAAGCTCTTGTGTCATTCTGTGCATGCTGCCTTGGGACAGCTTTCATCTCAGATCACTTCCGTGATGTGGAATCAGATGAGGAAAAGATTGCACTGGGAGTCAGTCTATTCTGGGCCCATGTGCCATTGGCCAAGTTCCTTCCCTTCTCTCTAGGCCTTGGGTCCTCACCTGTATCCTGATGGCTTTGACTGAGAGGTGGTTTAGGGAAGTGATTAAGAGCTTAGGCTCTGGAAGCCGACTCACTTGGCTTTGACTCTCAGCTTCACCACTAGTCTAGTGACTGTGGACAAGTTAATCTGTCTAAGCCCCAGTTTCCTCATCAGTAAAATCAGGCTAATAATATTACCCACCTCATAGTGGTAAGGGTTACGTGAGTTAATTCACAGGAGGTGCTTCGAACGATGCCTTTCACATTACTGTTCTTGACCTTACACTGGAAGTTGAAAACTGGTGGGGTGACTTTGACCTGAATTTGGCTCCCAGATATGTTCTGTTTGGCTTACACAGTTGTCAACCCATGCAGGGTGTTTAAGACTTTTTTCACTTAGTTAAAAATCAGGATATTTTATGTTAAAAATACAGATTTTTGGCTTCTGTTAAAAAATGGGATGATCGATTGATTCCAGGCCAGCATTCTAGCATGGTGACTTGCCTAGCTGCAGGCCCCACTTTAGATGAAACTGTATGCTTCATGCTGCCACAGCCCCCACCAATCTCTGGGATCCCTTTGAGTGGCAGCTGCACTGATCATCAAGCTCGTACTTTTTCCTTCTCCCCAGCCTGATCCACTCTCAGCATCACCTGCCCGGTTCCTCTGGGCATCTGATAATGTGACCCCTGCCTCCCACTTCTCTTGCTTGCTTCTGACCACTCTGCTGTCATCCTAGTTGTCCCTGCTCCCCCAGGTAACCTAACCTAAGGCCAGGACAACCCAGTGACAACTCGCTGCCGTCCTCTCCCCACAGCGCCCTGGGCTTGCTGCACTTCATCCGGCGAGGGAAGCAGTGTCTGGACTTCACTGTAACTGTCCATTTCTTTCACCTCCTGGGCTGCTGGTTCTACAGCTCCCGTTTCCCCTCGGCGCTGACCTGGTGGCTGGTCCAGGCCGTGTGCATTGCACTCATGGCTGTCATCGGGGAGTACCTGTGCATGCGGTCGGAGCTCAAGGAGATCCCCCTCAACTCAGCCCCGAAGTCCAGTGTCTAGAGTCAGGTCCTTTGGACACCCAGCTGGGCACTTGACACCTTGGGCTGCTCCGACTGTCCAGATGAGGTCCAGCCCAGGCCTGAGAGGAACCCGGGAAATGTGAAGTCTCTGTTGGTGTGGGAGAGAGATGAGGCCCCGTCAAGGAGGCAGGTAGCAGGCAGGATCACAGCTGCAAGAACGGCCTCTGTCCACTGAAGCCTTGGTATCTGGGAGGTCGGCAAGGGGGACCTCTTTCAGGGTAATAACAGAATCAGAACCATGTCACTCTTGAGCCACCATACCTGTCGCCAGCCTGTTATTTTAAAAAGGAAAAAAAAATAATCAAGGATATCTGATCACAGCGAACCACTCTTCTAGCCATCTGTCTCACCTCCCTGGGACAGCTGTTAGCTTTGCCATGCTGCTGAACTGCAGCTATTCTGTTTGGAGCAACACTTGGTTTCTGGATCCAGAGCCACAGAAAGATGTAGGCGCAAAGTAGCAGGCTACTGTCAGTGAGAGGATGGCAGGTGGAGGCATCAAGCAGAAAGAAAACGCACAACCTGTGTCCTGCTACACACGTGTGTGTACACCAGTGAACCCGTGACTGACTTTCTTCCGGTTCTCTCTACTGGGCCTCCACCCTGCTGCCAGCTTTCAACATAGCAGGCCATAGGACCCAGAGAAGAATCTTAGCGTCGCTCCCCATCAAACCCTCGAACTAGAGTCACTGCCTGTTCTCTAGGAATGACCGGGCATCCCAGCTCCCACGGACCTCCATTCTGGCAATGGTTCCCTTTTCCTTCCTTGTTTGGAATTACACAGTGGGAAGGGTACAGTGGGCGCCCAGACACAGGAAGCCCAGCCTTCCAGCTTGAGGTGCACTTGATAGTGCCGAGGGAGATAGGAATTTGCTACTAAGATTTTTCTTTGGGGTGGAGTGTCCTCTGTGAGGGGCATACAGCTGCCCTTCCTGTGAACATAAATATAGTTTTTCCATGGTTCTGCCTGTGCTTATTTTGTAATGCTGTGCTCGGGAGCTATAAAGAATGATTAGGCCACCTTCTTTTTTTCCTGAGCCCGAGTATTCCTCCAACTGGTTAAAACACTAAGTGCCGGGGACACCTGTGTCCCACCCCCGCCTGCAGCCTTCTCCGCCACGCCTTGGGTGAACTGCCATGACTCTCAGGGTACCTTTCCCATTTGCCAGTGACTTCTGAACATGCCCAGTGGAATGCACTGGTCTAGACCCATTTCTGCCTGGAAACCACTGCTGCTCCCCTTTGGGTCCTCCAGAGCCTGCCTGAGAGAGCTGTCAGTACTCAGCTTTCAGTGTTAGGGCTACACAGTTGGAGACTTTTGCCATCTCCTCAGGAAGCCTTTCTAGCCTCCTGACTCACAGCCCTGCAGAATAGGAAGTTGAGGCCGACAGGATGAAGGTTTAAGAGTGAACATGCCTGGGCAGAGGCTGGGAAAATGCCCAGGTGAGGCACCTCAGTAACTCAGGGCACTCTAGCCAAGCTGGGAGGAAGCAGGTTGTTAATGGGATTCTAATCCTAGCTGCGGGGTCCAGGAGGTATGACCAGCTGAAATGGCTTCCCCTGGGTGGATGGATTTCCCCCCAGACTCTAAAGGCAGGTGACTAACTTTATTTTGAGGCCAGCCTCAGAGCACTCACATCATGTGGCTGCAGGCTCCTGTGGCCAGCTCTGGTGGTGGTGGCTCCAGCTGTGTTGGCACAACTCTTTGGGAGTTTCCCACAGAGGCTGGTGCTGTCCTGCACATCTTCGATGACAGATCTCTGCCCCTTGAGTGTCAGTTGGATTTATGAAAACTGCCAAAGGTCGGGGGAGCCAAGGTGGGTTTTTTTGTGTTTTTTAATAATATCATGACTAAGCTGAATGACAGTTGGGGGTCAAAAATATGTGAGTTTCCTGAGATTTTTATGAATTCTAAAGTGACAAAGCAGTGTCTAGAGGCAAGTTCCAGAGAGGACTGGGCAATGGAAGTAATAAATAACATCCATTGAGTGCTTCATAAAGAGATGGCCAGCAGCAGACTAAGTGCTCTGCATCTCCTTGCTCACTTAATCTTCACAACAACCCTCTGAAGTAGGAAATAGCATCATCTGTATCTTACAGATGAGGAAACTGTAAGGAACTTGTCCAAGGTTACATGTTAGGAGCTGGCAGAGCCAGGATTTGGGTTCCGGTAGTGACATTAGTAAACTCATTCTGGGGGCTTCCCTGGTGGCACAGTGGTTGAGAGTCCGCCTGCCGATGCAGGGGACACGGGTTCGTGCCCCGGTCCGGGAAGATCCCACATGCCGCGGAGCGGCTGGGCCCGTGAGCCATGGCCGCTGAGCCTGCGCGTCCGGAGCCTGTGCTCGGCAACGGGAGAGGCCACAACAGTGAGAGGCCCGCGTACCGAAAAAAATAAATAAATAAATAAAAATAAACTCATTCTGAAGAGATTAATAGTTAAGTTCTCATCCTACTGTATCGTTTTAAATACTAAGGATGTAAACTGTGTAAATATTACTTGCTTTCCAAGAAAAACTGATAGGTAGTACATTAAATATGGCCACAGATTTCCAAGTGAACGTAGGAATGTTGGAAATATTTTTATTTCCAAAGGATAAAGGAAAGTACCTAGATCCGAAAGTTACCACCACCCTACCACTGAGTTGGTGTAGCTCTTGACTTTCTAGGGGTCTGACGTCTAGACATCCCCCCCGCCTCGCCCCATCCCGTCCACTACCATTTGGAGAGACAAGTGGAGACTAGTGCATAGCTGGTGCTCAGAATAGTTTATAACCCGCAAGAAGGATGGGAAAGGAGAAAGGGATGTCTAGCTCAGAGGGTGCCTCTAACCCCTAGTTCTAGGCAGGCCTGTCCAGATCAGAGCCAAATGGGGGCCGGAATGGCAGCCAGCAGGCACCAGTGAGGCGGGAAGCTCCAGGTCCCTGTGTGTCTTTTGTGAGGCACAGCTCAAACAGGTTAGGTTCCCCTGGAAGCAGAGTCTTAGACTCTGTTCAACAACTCCCAGATCAGGGTAGCTTCCTTCTCGCAGTCCCCGGGGGCAGTCAGCCTGTAACCCAGGGACTACAGCCTCAGGGGCAGGGGAAGGAGAGGCCAGTTCTGGGCACAAGAGAGGTTCTTTGTGGAGCGGGAATTAAGAGCTACTGCGTGCTTGAGGTTTTCTGTAGGAAAGTAGCAAAGGATGGTGGAACAACATTGAAACAAGGGGAGTAGAGGGAGCTGAGAGTTTTAATCCCTGACCTGCCTACCTGGCCAAGCCAGGGAGAATTCTAGGGGCCCAATGTTAGAAGGCTTTAGAGAGCTGCCATGGAGTGCAAGGTTAAGTCCTGGAGTCCCATTACCAGCTCTGAGACCTTGGATAAGCTACTTAACCTTCCCTGGGTTGAACTTCCCTGAGTTTTTGTGAGGATTCAGTGAGATGTCATAATGTAAAGCATTTAGTGCTGTGCCTGACCTATAAGAAAGTGATCCATGAATCTAAGCAGTTAGAATTATGGGACCGCTGCCCCCTTCCCATTTTACAGAGGAGATATCTTTCTTCAAAGCCTCAACTGTTAGGTAGGGGACAGGCTTGCCCATGACCTAGGCACAGCCACCAAGTATTGAGGGCCTATGTGCCACGCACTGTAAAGTGATTTATGTTTCTAACTTAACCCAATGAGATAGGCACCACCGTTCTCCCCATTTTGCAGACAGTGAAACTGAGGCTTAGGAGTAAACAGCTTTCCCCAGCATCAAACAGCTGATAAGAAGCTAGGCCTGTCTGCCTCAGCAACCTCATCCCCATTCATATACCAATCATGTTTAAGTGGTACATGGCCCAGATTAGGAGAGGGACAGTCTCCGGGATCCAGATACTGTTTTGTGAATGTGAACATAAGATTGGCTTTTTAGGGCTTCCCTGGTGGCGCAGTGGTTGAGAGTCCGCCTGCCGATGCAGGGGACACGGGTTCGTGCCCCGGTCCGGGAAGATCCCACATGCCGTGGAGCGGCTGGGCCCGTGAGCCATGGCCGCTGAGCCTGCGTGTCCGGAGCCTGTGCTCCACAACGGGAGAGGCCACAATGAGAGGCCTGCATACCGCAAAACAAAAAAAAAAGATTGGCTTTCTAAACAAAAAGCTAGTTCCCTAAAGGTGGGCAGTTAGGCAGCTGCTCATAAGTGAGAAACAGGGCCAGTACTGGCTTTATTACAGCAAGGGGGCCTGGAAAAAAGGCCGAATGTTCAACGTCCCACAAACTGGTTTCAACTACACCAAGCCTGATTTGCCCAAAGCCCTCTGGAACGTCTATTAGTATCCCTCTTTTAATAAACAGTTGGAATAGGCTCTGAGAGGTCATGTGACTTGTTAAAATTCAAACATTAAAAAATTTCCCCCAGTTAACTGTTAGGGAGCCATCTCTCCTGCGGTCTCTTATCCCTGAGATTATGGGTTGCAGCATCCTGCCGGAATCAGGATCTGACTGAACTCTGAAGAGGGGCCTCAGGTTAAAGTGGTTAAACAATGGGAGAATGGTAGTGGGGAGACCCTAGTTCTGGGATTATGGGAGGCAGGTTGCCTGAGCCTAAATGCCAGCAGGTGGAAGGGATAAGGCTGGAAGGAGTGCACTGCTGGGAGTCATTCACATGCATGAGGCCTGCATCCTTGCTTCCCCAGCGACACCCTGGCCACGCTGGGTCCCAGCCTAGGCACACAGGCTTCTGTCTGCTCACTTGATGGCATTGCCCGTGGGAAGCTGGGGCCCAGCTCTGGCTCCCAATTGGGCAAAGCAGAAGTTGCCAATCTCGCCTAGGCTCAGGCCGTTCGGGCCCCCACTTGGGGCTCCCCGGGGAAGGTTCCCATGAAGACTAGTGCATGCCCTCCCCCACCCCGCCACACACACAGGGTTTGGTTTTTTGTTTGGGAGCGCGCTGCCCTAATCGCCCGCTGATAGAGCACGCTGGACAGAAGTTTACTTGAAGGTTGATGGAACGGAAGTTGCTTGGGAGGAAAGATCGAATAGAAGGTTGATGTGACTGATGCCCAGCAAGGGAACCGAAATGGAGACTACCCAGGAAATGGGCTGGATTGCAAGCTTAGCGGGAAGACAGCTTGAAGTGAAGGTTACGGGAGTGGAGGTTGCGCGGAGGGGGCGGGGCGGGGTGCTCGGGACGGGAGCGCCGCGCCTGGGTGGCCGCAGGTAGGGAGCGCGCTGCGGGGGCGTTAGGTCGCCGTTCCCGAGGCTGAGCAGTGCGGTGCAGAACGGTCCAGCGCCAGGCCCCGCTCAGGCTGTTCTCGCGGCCCGGTTTCCGCTGGCGGCCTCCTGGCGGATGATCAGTCAGGGTGCTGAGCCCCAGTGGAGAGGAGGGGTGCGAGCCGGCCGGTTTAGCGGGAGCCTTTCCCATCCTTCTCTCTCCCTCCCAATCTGAGGATCTCCATCAGTGTCCTGGCTCCCTGGGAGTGAGGGTGGAGGGCTCTGCGCCCCTCGATGGCTCTGCTGCTCTCCTGAGGGCGCCCGCTGCACACAGCCTGTCTCCAGGGGAATACGGAGGACCAGGATCATAGTCTTTGTGCAGAGAAAGCCTGGGCCGCCTCTGTTTTCCTCTCCCCAACTGCATATTCAGGGCCCTGTGGCTCCTACCGACAGAGGGTGACCCCGACCGGACTTGGGGCTGGAGGATGGACGCGCTGTATCCCACGGGAGCAGTAGGACGAAGTACCAGTCCCCCGCCTGACTTGGTGCTTTCCGTGGCCCAGGCGGGGCACATTTCACATTTCCGGCTGGCATTTATTGACACTCGGAGCCGTGATAATCTGGGCGCAATGCACGTGCGTGACGGGCTGGATGCTGCGTTACGCCTTTTCCCCTTCTTCGGGAAATGGAACGGGGAGCAGCCAGGAGACCTAGATTAGAGTTCTTGCTGTGCCACTTCCCAGCGGCGTGAGCCTGCGCAAGACCTTAGCTTCTCGGCGCCGCGGTGGTTTCCTCCTCTCCTTGGCCTGCAGGGCCATTGTGAGGCACCTGGCACCCAGGAAGCGCACAACCAACGCCCCCCTTCTATGACTTCATGGAGAGCGCCGCTCAGGAGGCCAGCTTGCAGAGGCGGGGGAAGGGAGCTGCCCGCTTGCTTCTTTGTTACGGCTTCTACGCTGACCGTAGGGACCTGGGGATGGAGTGGAATTAACCTGAAGAAGTGATTCAGACTCTCCCCGCTCCCCCACCTTACCTCCGCGGAGGGCCTCTTTCCTCCAGCCTTTCCAACCCCAGATAAAGAGGCAGGGCCAGCGGCAGTATTCTTCAGCGCCATATGGGAGATTTTATTTGTAGACTCGCGAATTTTCCCGCCCATCCCTCCCGTCCAGATGGTTGCGCGATCTCCGCCCTCTCCGCACACCTCTGGTTCCCATCCAAGGTGTCACCTGCGAGCAGAGACCTCAGCGTCAGTTAGAAGCTAAGACCACCCCCAGAGGGCGCTGGCGTCCAGGGAGAGGGCTCAGGGACCAGGGCGCTGCGGTGTCTGGCAGATTGGAGATGCCCGGTTTGCTGAAGGGGCAGCTTCCCATTCAACTGGACCCCCAGGCCCATCACCCACTTCCTTTCTTGGGACCTCAGTGGAGGGGCTGGAGTATTTCTGCTTTTTCTTTTGCTAAGGAACTTTTGTCCAGAGTAGGTCTTATTTGAGGCACGAATAAATAAAACAAATGCAGAGTTTATCTAAGAGGGGATGAGATGCAGAAGAACCTTACTTGACCACGCCCCCTCCCCTTAGCCCCACATTTGGAAATCCCTAAACTCACTCAGACTTCTGTGAGATTCTGAGCCATAGCAGATGGCCCCTCCTGAGGCCTCCAGGCAGTGGATGACTCACCTCAGAACCACACTCCCAGTGCCCTCCTTCCCCAGAGCCCCTACTCAAGTCCTGAGAGGACCCAGCCTGGCCACTGCCCTGCTGTGTGGACTTGGTCAATGGCTTCCACCTCTCTGGGCTTCCCTCTCTGGGCATGAAGGTAGCGCCTCCCAGCACTGCCAGCCACAGCCCCCAAGACTCTGGATCCTAAGCCCTCTGACTCTGGGCCCAGCTCAGGGCCTGGCTTGGGGCTTGTGTCTCACCCTAGCCTGGCAGTGGCATTGTCACACCTTGTATGGACGGACCATTGGCAGCTCAAGTGATGCCGAGCAGAGGCGGGTGCAGCAGCGCTTGACCCAGCGCAGGGCGGATGGTCTGCACATCACCCGGGGCGCTGGGAGGTGGACTCGTGTGGGCAGCCCCTCACACCAGATCCACTGGTCTGCTGTGTCCAGCTGTTTCATATCCTCCATGGGAGGTCTGTACTGGTGGGTCTTCAGGAAGACAACCCGGGGGTCCGCAGTGGGTGATTGCCTCTCCTGGGCTCCAGGGCCAGTGGGCAGGCCACGACCCTTGGACGTCATGGGGACCTCAGGCTCCGGCCGCTCCTCCTCATGCGGCACTGCTTGCTGTGCCGTGTGCCCCTCCCGCAGTGCCGCCTTGGGCCTTGACTGCTCCGGGTCTTCAGGTTCCCTCAGGGGCTCTGATTTCTTGGAGTCCAGTTTCTTGTTGGGACACCCAGCCTCCTGAAGATCTTTGTTATTTTGTTCTACTGTATCCCAGACGTCTTCGTGCCTGGCAGGGAGAGGAGCGGCAGTCAGCAGAGCAAGACCAATGTCCTGGTCCTCCAGCTAGACCGAGACAGCTGTTCTGCAGTCAGCTCAGGGAGCCTGTCAGGAAAGCTAGAGAGGGCCTGAAAAGAAGCTTCTCTACCACTCAGAGGTCTTGTTCCTGGGGGCAGGGGATGTGGTGATAAGTACCAGCAGAAGGGATGTAAGAGGTTGGAAAGGCCTGAGGCAATGGCTAGTAGTTAGGACACCTAGAAATATATATTGCCTGCATCGGCCACTAGGTTAGGATTCTGCCTCTTTGGATTTCAGTTGATGGAGTGGACTGGTCCAGTGTTTTGTTTTCGGGTGTTTTTTTTTTTTTTTTCAAATTGTGTTTCAAGAAGTCTTAGAAAGTATCTCAAATGACCACCCCCCACCCCTGGAGGGGCAGGGTGAGGGGCAGGATAGCTTCCCTCCAACCACACAGTTGGGGGTTGGGGACAGAAGTTTGAAGAGTGGCTCTGCTGCTTTAAAAAGGCTTGGAAATCTCTGGGACTAGATGATCCTGACCCTTCTGGCTCAGTGTTCCCTGAGCACCTGCATCGAGGACGCCAACTCAGGGGAGGAGCCAGAGGGGTGGAGTTAACTAGAGGGGTTAGGAGACTTTCCCCAGGGGTGTCTGTCGTAGACTGAGTCCCCTGCAATGTGGCAGCCCCCGTCCTAGATGAGTGTGTGGAGAGAGAGAGGCCTCAGGCTCAGGATAATGACAATACAGAGGATAATAATGGCCACTGCCGATTGGGTGCCCACTGGGTGTCAGGCCCAGGACCCTCACAACAGTCCTGCAAAGCAGGAGGCAGGGAAGAGCAGAGCGGCTTGGAGAGCACAGGCTTTGGAGACAAACTGGGGTTCCAATTTGCTTCTGCCTCTTACCACCTGTGTGATTTGGGGCAAGAAAGGTAACCTGTCAGAGCCTTAGTTTCCTCATCTGTAAAACTGGGGTAATTCCTTCTACTTAATAGGATTTTTGTGAAGAATAAACTAAGTGGGAAAATGCTTTGCATGGTACCTGGCACTTAGCAGGTGCCTCATGTCAGCTTTCTTAGCATCCTGATGTGACTTGTGAGGAAACTGAGCCTCAGCAGAATGACTAGTTTGCAGGTTAATCTCTGCGTGGTGTTGACTTGGGAGAGGCAGAAGGGGTGGCCCCTCTTGCTCAGAGCACCGGGTGGTGGTTAGTCCCGTGGTTGGGTGATTATGACCAGGCTTATGACAACAGCTCTGATATCAGCTGGGAACAGCTTCAAATTCTAGCTCTGCCACTTACCAGTCCAGTTAATGGGACAAGTTACAAGATCTCTTGAGCCTCAGCTCCTCAGTAAAATAGGGCTAATAAATAACTACCTTTCTCCCAGAGCCTAGTCAAAATGCAGGTTGCAAAATTCCTTAGCATGGTGCCAGTTCCTAGTTAAGGTGGCTACTGGGCCCATGATAGGGGCCATGGGTGGGCCATGCTCACCCAGAGGAGACCCTGAGGATCTTCAGAGCTCTGAGCAGTGAATTCCAACACCTTTTGGCCAGGTTATGCAGTTCTTGGGTCCGAGGGTTCGAGCTCTTGAGCAGCTTCAAGAGCGACAAGTTTTTTAGCACCTGCCAGGGGCGAGGGGCCAGAAAAACGGAAGCTTAAGCTTTCCTGGGATAGCGTCCCACCCCGCCACCCGGACTTTCGCTCAGCTCAGCTCAGGGCAGGGCCTGGTGACTCCTCCCGGGTCACTCGGCCTGGCAGCCAGGAGCAACACTGCATGGGGGCTCAGGCCCTCCTAAGCAGACACCAAAACGGGGCGCCTCACCGCTTTAAGTCGTTTCCGCGCAATTACTTTGCTGACAGGCTGCTGTATCTTGTCCCGTAGTTCCTCATCTTGCATCTGACAGAGAGGGGGGGGCGGGGGGGGAATGCTAACACAGTAGGAACCCCCCGAACGCCTCCATATTGGGCTGGGCTTGGTGTGACCAACCCTAGACTGGGAGTTTTGTCACCTTGGTTTGGGGGTGGAAACAGCCCATTCTAACTCTCCTGACCTCCCTTCACCCTTCACCTCTCCCTCTTCCCCCCAGGCTGGAAGGTCCCCATCCTGGGCATGGTTGGACTCTTTGTTGAGACCCCCACTGGGTCTAGTCCCAAATCCAACCTTGGAAACCACTGTATTCTTGAGCCTCTTCTTTGCTGATGGACTCATGCTGGAGCTGTGAGGCCTCAGAGACAGATGGAGCAAGACTGGTGCCAGGCACTGCCTGCCCCCTGCCTCTCTCAGCTCAGCCAGTGCTCAGGCTGGGCATCAGGATGATTGTGCTGGGGCTCCCAGGGAGGGGGCTGTGACATCACTGAAATGTGTGACAGTGGCAGGGCTGAGTCTCTGAGGAGTATGTGGATGGCAGGGGTGGAGGGTGAGGAGGAAACTCCTGTCTGTGGAGAAACCTAGTAGGTGCCAGGCAGAGGCATATATTGTCACCATCTCCCTGTGAGGTAGGAAGATTCCCCCGTCTTTTTGTTTGTTTGTTTGTTTGTTTTAATAAAGAAGCCAGGGTTCAAAGAAATTAAATAATTTATCCACACAGCTGGATAATGTTGGAGCTGGAAACGTAAGGTCTGACCGTCAACCCATGAAACGTGGGTTCCCAACTATGCTCATATGTTCATTCATGTCACATATGTTGACTGTGTGTCTGCTATGTGTTAGGTGTGTTCTAAGCGCTGGAATAAAAAAAAAAAACAATTCCTACCATCAAGGAACTTACATTCTAGTGGAGAGTGTGTGTGCTTGTAAAGGTTTAACAATGGGCTCTCTGAAACAAAGTGTGTATGTGTGTGTGTGAATGTGTGTTTATCATAAATTTTACTGAAAGAAATCTAATAAAATTCTACAATACTCTTTATTGTGAATTCGGTATAGCCAGTTTATTCTTACAGTATACTTTCCTTGAATTTTGCCTAACTCTTGCATCCATAGTCAACCTATGGTTATAACTGATGACCAAGTGTAGTTCCAACATGAATGTTGATTTAAGAAAGTGAAAAAGTGAAAGAACAAAGATGTTGGAATTCAACTCATTTCTCAATGACCTGATCGACTTCTTTACTGTATTAGATCACAGTTTTCAAATACCGGGAGTATATTTGCTCAGCTTTTTTTGCGTGTGTGTGGCTATTTACAATGTACAGGCATACCTCAGAGATATGGCAGGTTCGGTTCCAGACCCCTGCAATACAGTGAGTTACCTGAATCTTTTGGTTTCCCAGTGCATATGAAAGTTATGTTTACACTATACTGTAGTCTATTAAGTGTGCAATAATAGCATTATGTCTAAAAAAAGTACATACCTTAATTTAAAAATACTTAATTGCTAAAAAACACTAATCATCACCTGAGCCTTCAGCAAGTTGTAGTAGCAACATCAAAGGTCACAGATCACTGTAACAAGTATAATAGTGAAAAAGTTTGAAATATTGTGAAAATTACTAAAATGTGACACAGTGACATGAGGCCAGCAAATGCTGTTGAAAAAATAGCGCCTATGGACTTGTTCAACTAGGGTTTCCACAAACCTTCAATTTGTAAATACCGCACTATCTGTGAAGTGCAGTAAAGCGAAATAAAATGAGATCTGCCTGTAGCAGCTATAGACAGGACATATTTACATTTAATCTACATTATTAACATTTCCTCCATTACTTTCTTAAGGCTAGACCTGGGGGGTCGGTAAATTTCTTCTGTAAGGAGCAAGATAGTAAATATGTTAGACTTTGCAGGCCGTGTAGTTGCAACTACTCAACTGCTCTTGGGATGTGAAAGCAGCCACAGATATGGAAATGAGTGGGCCTGGCTGTGTTGCAATAAAGTTTATTTACAGAAATAGTTAGTGGGCTGGATTTGGCCCATGGCCAACTGCTGGTCTAGACACTCAACAGAACGATAAATCAAAACCTGATTTATCATACTTACCTACTTCTGTGGTGTAAATACTCCTACCAGGGCTGATTTCAAGCTACCGGTGTGATGTCACTGAATGCAGAGCTGAAAAGAAATGCACAGTAGCATGCCATTATATATTATATATTATATATTTATGCCATATTTCTACAGCTGTAAAGATTCTCAAGATTATAGATAATAGCAAAAGGTAGTAAAAATTAGAAAGTGATGAGTTTGAGCATTTTTCACCTTTGTTTTTAATCTTTTATTTTTCAAACGTTTATTTATTTCTTATTTATTTATTTTTGGCTGTGTTGGGTCTTCGTTGCTGCACGCGGGCTTTACCTAGTTGCGGCAAGCGGGGGCTGCTCTTCGTCGCAGTGCGTGGGCTTCTCATTGCGGTGGCTTCTCTTGTTGTGGAGCACGGGCTCTAGGTGCTCGGGCTTTGGTAGTTGTGGCACGTGGGCTCAGTAGTTGCGGTGCACGGGCTTAGTTGCTCTGTGGTATGTGGGATCTTCCCGGACCAGGGCTCGAGCCCGTGTCCCCTACATTGACAGGTGGATTCTTAACCACTGCGCCACCAGGGAAGCCCCTCACCTTTGTCTTTAATATCATTAACTTAATGAAGTTGGTATAATTTAATTTTTAATGACGGCATTGCTTAACAACCAGCCAGCCAAGCTCCTAAAAATGTCATAGACTTTTGAAAGCCCTCAGAGTCGGTTCCAGCACGCTTCTGTTAACGTTGGATGGGAGTAAGTGTGTGGAGAAAAGTAAACAGTGTGGGCCGGAAAGGAAGAACGAAAGTAGAAGCTTTGCTGTATTAAAAAGGATGGAATGGGACCATTTCACCGACAAGATGAGATTTGAGGAGAGACCTGGAGGAGGTGAGGGAAGGGGGAAGGAGCGGCGTCAGGAGATGAGGGCAGAGGCGGAGGAGTCGTGTTGAAGGGCTGGGGACAGATCATGGGAGATTTTAACAGCTTAGGCTGCTCTGAGTAATCTGCCCAGCTGGCTGCATCTGAATAATCAGAAGAGCTGGTGAGATCCAGCCTCTCGGGCACCACCTCACTCAGTCAGCCAATCTGGTACCTAACCCAGTGTGCGAGCCAAATCCACACCATACCCGGGCGGAGGGGTGTGCATGCATCTGGGGTGCTTAGCTCTGCCTTTTAGGGGTGATGGACCAAGACCAGACTACCGAACAGCTTCTTACATGTACATGCCCTTTATTATTAGGGCAAAGATAAGCGGGTGGTAAAACACACTGTGGACCAGGGAAGAAACCAAGGAGGTGACTTGGGAGGGAAGGCATGGAGCACAGCCCCTCCCCTCTCCCTCTGTCTGCCTCAGCACTCTCCGTGGCTCCTCTGCTTTCCTCTCCCTGCGCGATTTCAGCTCTTCCTGGACCCTGCAGGACTCTGGTGGGCTGCATCAGGGTCCTCTACCCCCGCCATTCAGTACCTGGGCACCAAGGGCTGGGGCCCCGCTGTGCGCTCCCCACTGAAGATGGCACACAGGCCCAGGGGAGAGGTCCTTCTAGAATATGGGTTCCTCAGGGTCAGGGATTTTTGGCTGTTCTCTTCATTGCTAACCCCTCAGAGCCTAGAATAGTACCTGGCTGGCAATAGGTGCCCACTAAGTATTTCGTGAAAAAGTGAAATAAATGGCGTTACCTACGATAAGGGCTGGGGGGCGGGCGCCGCTGGAACACAGAGGCACAGTGTGGGGAGGCCAGGGAAGTCTTCACAGAGATGGTGAGGAGGAACAAAGGAGGAGTATGGCCTCCAGGCAGAGGGCTGTGGGCTGGGCAGGGCACTCTCAAAAGAGGGGATTTTAAAAGTACAGGTGTGGGAGGGAATTATGAACTGGTGTATGTGCTGGAGTGGAAAGTAGGAGCCTAGAGCGGTGGTGACCAAACCCGGAGGAGTGAGCAAGACACAGACTGCTAAGGGCTTGATCACCGGCTCAGGGGCTGGGAGTTTGTCCTGAGGGTCAGAGCATCCTGGGAGCATTCCAGCAACGGAGGCAATGGGGCTTGATTGAGCTCCAGGGGCTGGCGCGCGCCTCTGCCGTTCTGTTCTAGTCTGTTCTTTTCATCGTCACTCACTTCCCTCCCTTTGGAAGCTTAGGGAGTTCATCCCCAAGGGGGCAGGGCATTCTCCCTGACCAGACATTGTACCCCAGCAATGGCTCCTAAAGCAAATTCCCATATTCTGTCTTGTTTGTCTCTTCCGTTTACACAGGAAAAACCATTTATGGGAATAGTGACACCCAAGGACACACAGCTGGTCAGCCTTTTGGACCAAATCCAAGGCACTTGAGTGAGAAACCACCACTCTGTTTTTCTTAGTTGTGGTAAATACACATAACAAAATTTACCACCTTAAACATTTTAAGTGGGCAGTTCAGTAGTGTTCAGTACATTCACACTGTTGTGTAACCATCTCCGCCATCCATCTCCAGAACTCTTTTCATCTTGCAAAACTGAAACTCAATACTAAATAACAACTCCCCATTCCCTACTCCTCCTCAGCCCTGGTAATCACCCTTCTACCTTCTGTCTCTATGAATTTGACTGCTCTAGGGACCTCATGTGAATGGAATCATACAATATTTGTCTTGCTGTGATGGCTTATTTCACTTAGCATAATGTCCTCAAGGTTCATCGTGTTATAGCAGAATTCCCTTCCTTTAAGGCTGAATAATATTCTGTTGTACGTATAGACCATATTTTGCCTATCTACTCATCCATTGGTGGGCACTTGGGTTGCTTCCACCTTTTTGGCTACTGTGAATAATGCTGCTATAAACATGGGTGTACAAATATCTCTCTTTTTTAATTTAAAAAAAATTTATTTATTTTATTTATTTATTTTTGGTTGCGTTGGGTCTTCGTTGCTATGCGCGGGCTTTCTCTAGTTGCAGTGAGCAGAGGCTACTCTTCGTTGCAGTGTGCAGTAACACTATTTTAACATTCCCACCAACAGTGCACAGGGTTTCAGTTTGCCACATCCTCACCAACACTTGTTATTTTTCCTCCCTCCCTCCCTCCTTTCTTTCTTTCTTTCTTTCTATAGTAGCTATCCTGATGGCTGTGAGGGTCTATTCTTTTTTTGTCATTTTATTTTGTTTCATCTCATAGTTTGTGCTTTACTTTCTTTTTCTTTAAAGTTAGGGTTATTGGGATATATATATATAT